GGGGGGGGGGGGGGGGGGGGGGCGCGGGGGTTGGTGTTAACCCACCTGGCAGCTGTTGTAGATGCTGCCTCGCTCCTCCAGCTGCTTCCTTTGGTTCCTTCTCGCTGGCTATGCATGAAGACGACGCCGGGGGCTGCTTCGTGCTCCTCTGCAGACGAAAAGACGACGACTGCGGCAGCGAAGCGCAAAAGCAGAGACCGCTACGGAGGGCATACTGCTGGGGAACAAAGGTGGACTACCGGGGTGTCCCCTGCCAGAGTGGGGTAGGTCTGAGTAGTTTGAAATGGAACTATTCAGATCTCCCGTTTGTTTTTTCCTTCGGAGGGCACGCACAGCCTTGAATTTTGTTTTTCCTACCCCACCTGTTCACATGACTTCAGAATTGGGCGTAGACCCTCACCTGCAACTTTTTTTTTTTTTTGCGACCCCTGGATTTTGACATGCACCGCACCCATTGCACGCGCGGTTTGCACGATGCGCGATATGGCGCACGTGCGCGGTGCAGCGCATGTCAATGCGCCGCATGTATGGTTCAACTCATGACCAGTTCCCCTTTTTTGTCGATGGAGTTAACCCCTAAGGCTACTCTGTCCCCAGAAGATTCAAACTCATGACCAGTTCCCTTTTTTTGTCGAGGGAGGTAACCCCTAAGGCTGTTCTGTCCCCAGAAGGTTTGCATTCATGACCAGTTCCCTTTCTTTGTCGAGGATAGCCCCTAAGCTATTCTGTCCATGGCTACGCCGGACCCGGACCCTGACATTTCCGAACATGGAACCGCACCCGTGTCTGGTAGTTTCCGGACGTCCGGAATTCCAGACATTTCCGGACTCCCGGACATGGGGAGATCCGGACGGTCCGGATGAGGGGAGGAGATAGAACGTACCTGGTGTACGCTGGCGTTCTGCATTTCCGGACCTCCGGACATGGGGGGATCCGGACGATCCGGACCAAATCTGGACCGTCTGGACGGCGGTCCGGACGTTCGGATCGTAGCCATGATTCTGTTCCCAGAAGGTTCGAACTTCAAACTGATGATCAGTTTGTCAACAGTTACATCCTGTGTCTAGCACCGAGTAGCATCCACCCACATGGGCAATTGCTTTGTCCCACACAAAGTGCAAGAAAGCGTCCCAAAAAACACTTCGGCAGCTTTAAATTTTGATCGACGACTGCTGCTTTGCACACAGGCCGAGGGTGAAAATGCCCTGCGCATGGGGCTGGATGGTGCTCACATTATGAACTGTTAGCAAACTGAACGCTAATTCAAATTTCAAACTCCTGACGGAATGGGATGAACACAAGAAAGTTAATTGCTACCCACTTCGGAAAAGCAACGGTTCCAGAAGAATGGCCTGCCCATCTGCGAATTGTCCAACTGGCATCGAGATCCGTTGTATCTGGTAGACGTCTGAAAAACTGGTTGCCAGCTACTGCCTACCACACAATTGCCCAAAGTAATTTGAGTTTGTCTGTGCTGTATCCAGTATGTTGTAGTTGCAAGGAACCGCCCGGACCTGCCCTTGCAATGACTTGCTGGTTCCAGGTTGCCTGTAGCCTCACTCTGACGAGGCTGTACCATAGTCAGGGGTAGATTCGCAATTTTGTTTGGCCGAGGACTAACCGAGAGACCTGCCTGTATGGAAACTTCGTGAGGGACATATCTGTAAATATAGAAATATGGGCCCAGTACCACTTCGATTTTCCTACAGCTACCCTAACTGCAAATAGCAGACCCGGGTTACCCCTAGGACAGACAGGCCCTATGGGCCTACGCTGATAGACGGTCCTATAGCCTATAGCCGGGTAGGGAGAGGCCCTAGAGGCCGAAACAGAAACGGTACCGGTCGGTCAGTCAGTCCGGTCTAGGTCGGTCTAGGCTAGTAGTAGAGTATAGATAGGATGGGGACATCGGTCCTGGGCTTTTTGGCAGTTGACACTTCGTGGTGGAAGTTGCTGCGCACACGGTATCAGTTTGTGGTTGCTGATTCCTGTGGTGGAGACGGCGGACATAGCCAGACCTTCGGAGCGCTGACCGGACTGGGGTCACGCTGTCCGCTCTGAATCTCTGGGAGTCAAAGCGGTCTGGGCTATCAGAGGTCTGATGCATTGGAGCACATGGTGCACTGCTGACCCTCCTCAGGAGTAGGGTCCCAGTGGCGATGCAGCCCCAGCTGCATCTTCTCAAAGATTATCATCGTCTGGGCTTCATCTTTATCAGGGACTGTTGGCGCTGAGCTTCTTCTTCATCATCTGGATGGCGATTGGCTCCGGGAGCCTGTTTCACTTTGGCGCAGGCCACTGAGTTGGATGTCAGGGTGGCGCTGGGTGTTACCTGGGGTTTTGGTGCTATTTTTAGCTGTTCAGGGTGTTGGGGTTGAGGCGCTACCCCACTGAGGGCCGCGCAACAGGGTTCTGAGGTTATTCAGTGAAAACGATGCTCTGAGTTTAATAAACAGTTGCAATACTGTGTTTGAGTTGTCATCTCTTCATTGATTTCTGGCTGTGATCGCTCGGTTGTCTTCTATGAATGACTGTTGGGATCTGGGTGGAGAGAATCCACAGTTTGTGTGTTCTGTCACTTCGCTCCTCTGAGTCTTCGGCTGCGTTTCTTTCTGGTGGGCGGTGTGATACTCCACTACCTCTCCCCTTCTTTCTGTGCATGTATAGGCGTGTACGGGAGTTCCTGTGAGTGAATGTTGAGAAAATTTCAACAGACAATCATGTTCATAACACCCTTCTCACCACGAGAGCCACAGTAGGTAATCAATCATGGTGTCAAATTTTGGAAGATGTTCATAGTTTTTGAAAATGTAAGAGGAAGATGAGTGTGTCCCGTAGGACATCCGTTAAAATTGGAACGATATAGAGAAGATTAGCATGGCCCCTGCTCAGGAATGACACATGAATCGAGAAATGGTTGGTCCAAAAAACCTTTAAAAAAAAAAAAAAAAGAAGCTATGTTCTTCTCTCAATTTCACCTCACACTACCTACCTACCACTACTCCTAATTGTAGGCATACGGGGAACCCCGTAGCAGCCAGAACCGTGTTCACGAGAGAACATGCGGGGGCTGCTCCTGACCTGCAGGTGGGCGATATCGGCTAGGGGACAGCCAGTAGCATCAGGGACCATGCCAACAGGACCAATCCTTGTGCCTCCCCTCAGGTCCCCTCCCCTACGAACATCAGCAGACTCTGCTCAATGCCGATCGGGGGATCCAGTGGTCTATGAGGCCAATGGGGATTGAACCCACGACCTCCTGAATGCCAACCTTTTTCAGAGTGGGGTGTTCCGCTTTTTTAAAAAAAAGAAAAAAGAGAAAAGGAGAATAAGACTGATGGTTCCTAGAGGTGGAGCTGTATTTCCCAAATTTCTGTGGGAAAGGAAACGTCCTTTCTTTTGCTTTGCGTGCTCTGCGAGGCTTCTGAGAAGAGGCTGCACTTGGCTCGATTCTTTTGATCTGGACCACAGGCGATGAGGACCGATGACCAGAAACAGAGAATGTGGGCGAGTGGAAACATGTCCATGCTGTGTGGTGCAATATCGTGCTAGAGCAGTCGTGAGATATGTGTTCGAGCACTGTGCACGCTGAGCGTACAGATAGGAGAGCGGCGCAATAGTCGAGCAATTCGACGGACAGACTAGTCAGCACACTCGCAGATCATTACCTCATCGGTCGTCAGTTACTCGACCATTGCCATAGCTTCTACATGATGAGACCACGTTTGTTCGTTTCATTCATATGACTTGATGACACGCCAATATTGTGATCTATAGCAGATTTTGTGTCTGTCCTTTTTGCCTGTTTCGGGACGTTACAGGGTCTTCAGAGAGGTTCTTCGGCCAGACGGAAGGGAAGCGTGTTCGGTGTCAATCTTGCATCTCTCGACTTGGCCGGGGAATAGGAACCGAACTCTGATGCTCCCCAGAATGGATATAAGGAGCCAGGGCCATAAGCACCTGTTTTTAAAATGTTTTTAATTAAAAAAAAAAACTAACCTATATTCTTCTCTCAATGTGCCTCCCACTACCTACCTACCTAGCCTGGAATGATACACTCTTCATCTATGGACCACAAGCCAGGGTTACGCGTTGAGCCTAACTCCCAGCAACGGGTGGAAGGGACAATGGCATTCCCCGCCAACCGAATAGGCGGGCGGGGGGGTGAACGCACAGCACGCCTCAGGGGGGGCGTGTTTTTGTTTGGAAAAAAAGGAAAAACATATGTTGTTTTGGGGGATGTGCGGATTTGTGCTTCTAGCATTTGTTGTTCCAGTGACTCGAGGGCTCTCCTTTTTTGTTGACAGGGTGCCGTGCTCGCTTTTACACCTGTTGGCCACCTCCGTTTCTTTGTTTTCTCCCTTGTGTCATCAGGGTTGCTCTTGCAGCATTCCACCTGTCAGTCGTGGAGCTGCAGCCAAGGAATGTGGTCTTGATAGCAGCCGCCTTAGCATGCAGCGAAAGGATGGGAGCAGAAGATGCCGTTTGTCGGGCGAAAACTGTTTTCGACCGAAAGGAGAGGGAGTGGAAAGAGAACAGAGAGAAGATGTTAGGGCATAGTGAAATTAGGGAGGCCAATCAGCGAGTGTGTGAGGTGAGAGAGAATGGAGTGAGAGAGAGAGAGAGGAGAGAGAATAGGCTGCGAGAGGAGGAGCGAGGGGATAGCAGATTTAGAGAGAGTGATCAGAGAGAGAACGGTTCGACAGACAGCAGAAGGAGAGAGTATGAAGAGAGGGAGTATTCGTATCGGGAGATTCTGAGGGATGGTTCCTCTCCGAGCGAACAGAGAGAGAATGGTCTGCGAGAGAATGGGTTGAGAGAGAACGGTTTGAGGGAAAGCGGGCGAGTAGACGGTGAGAGGAAAGAGTATGGTCTGGAGAATGAGCAAGGAGAAACCAGGCGGAGAGAGAGCGGGTCGCGAGAAAACGAGTGGAAGGAGAAGGGTTTCAGAGAGAGTGAACGGAGAGATTCCAGAGATAGGAGGTCTGATGAGAGTAGAAGTCCTCCAGAACGCATGAAATGGGTGAAGAAGGAGCAGAGCCGAAAGCAGGAATTGTCCCCTGATAAGGCCTGTGGGACGTCCCCCGTCAATGGGTATGGCAATGGCTATGGGAACGGCTTTGGGAATGGCTATGGGAATGTCCATGGCAATGGGAATGTCCATGGCAATGGGAATGTCCATGGAAATGGGAATGTCCATGGGAATGGGTATGGTTATGGGAATGGGACTGTGAATGGGACTGGGAATGGGATTCTCTCCAATGGTTTGGCAAATGGCGTGTGCGTGGGATACTTTCATCAAATTACCCAAGAATTGAAGGAGCTTGGAGACGCGGCGTTGGCTATGCTACAGAAGATGACGGATCCGGTGCTGGCAGTCAAAGAGATTCATAGCTTAACAGGGGTGAAGGCAGATCCACAGGTGAGATAGTGTACATCTTTGCCCTAGCTCCACCACTGAAGCAATGTCGAATGTCATCTTGGCACATTCTACTCCATGATTCGCTTATCATTTTCACAAAAGATGCAGGTGAGATAGTTTACAAGGGGCAGTCTATCTGACAAAGAATGCAATCCTCACCAGTGACAGTCTCTGTCTGCTCCAAAACATCCGCCCTCACCGCTCACAATCTGTGTCTGCTTCAAAGCGTGTGCAAACGACGGTGTTCTGTCCTGGGGCTCATTCTCTTGCCATGGTCTACCGGATGATACGCTCTCCATTTTGGCCCTTCTTGTTCCTATTGCAAACAAAATGCAATCCTCCTCTTCCCCACCCACAGCAGCCATTCTCCGTAAAGTACCAGTTCACACGAGCCTACGTCGATGAGGCTATACCTTCCAAGGCTCGGAAGCCTGAGACTCGACCTTTTCAAAGCGGCCTGCTGCGCTCGCTGCTCTTACCACATGAACTGGTAACAGCCCTTCTCTGCTTCGAGTGAACTGACGTTTTATGCAGGGACAGCATTGCAGCCATGTGCATACTGCCTCTGTGTGTGTGTGTGTGTGTGTGTGTGTGTGTGTGTGTGTGTGTGTGTGTGTGAGAGAGAGAGAGAGAGAGAGAGAGAGAGA